AAAAAAAAAAAAAAACTGCTGGGTAATATGGATATGATTCACATCAGAATTTCAAAATATTCTGTGGAATAAGTACCTTTCAACAACATATCTATATGGGCTAGAAGAATAAGTGAAATAAATAAATGGATATCTTATAATCAGATAATTATGGTATTTAATATGAACTCAGAATATAGTTTAAAGCACCTAAAAACTTGAGAAGTTCCACTTAAAACTGACTTTATGCATTGCTTGCTCATAATGAAAATACAAATATGTAATCATTTTATAATCAAGAGAACATGGTACATTACCAGATTATTTTTGGTTATCCCACATTTCATTCATTCATTTCATACATTTAAGGTAAAGAAAATACTTAAAATAGTTTTTATTCCCTTGTTGTGCTTTCTTTTTTCTCTTTAATGGCACAGTCTACTTCAGTTTCTTTTATCTGTTCCTCTATGGGTTTGTCAGAAAATGTTCCCAGATTTGTTCACACCAATATTTTATAGTTTCACAAATGAAAACATCATTACTTCGAACACAGTTTTTGTTGTTGCTGTTGTTCTAAGTAACATAAATTTTGAATAACCTGCTCCAGTATTTCTGTGCTAACTAAAATTTAATTAAATACTGTCTTTGAATGCTACCTCCATGGTATCATCACCTTTTATAATGAAATACCTCAGTATTTCCCCTTTTACACTTAAAAATACAGTACTAAAAGAAATCATACTAAATCCCCCCAAGTTTTAATAGTTGGCTTCATACAAAGGATTCTTATCTAAGAGTCCAACTTTCATTTTCAGATTCATTTTCTTAAGTAATACCAAATAAAATCAAGCACATTGGCGGTGGGGGGGGGGGGGACTTAATCCTTTTATCCCTACCTAATGCAATCCTGCGTGCTGTTGCACTCCGTGTAGGTTTTTCTGGCTCAAGTACCCAGGTCTTCTCATCAATTTCATCCATAACATCCCAGAATGCCTTCAGTGAGTCTAATGCTGCCAAAAACTGACTATGAATGCTTTTTAAGGAGCTCTGTGGAAAGATGAATGCTGAATAAGTTATATGGCACTCTACCAACAGCAGATAATCTTTCACTTAAAATACAACTCAATTTAGAAATTTTAAGCTCTATTTCATTTCAGCTAGAAACCAGACTCCAGTAAACAAAACTCAGCTCATCCTACTTCACATCTCTTCACTTCCATTAGCATTAATAGGATTCATTCTTGTCACTAGACAACGCACCTTACCAGGAAAGAATTGCTTTTTTAAAACCATTTTTATTTTTGCTATGATGCTGGTTGTACTATGTACTATGGAATAGTAATTACTAATATAAGACATGTATGTTAACTTTGTTTATCTAATACATAATGGTCATAGGGTCTATACGATTCTAGTTTGAAGTCTTATTTTAATTATTGCAGAAATTACTTCATTAAATGCAGTATTATTTGTAGTTTGATTAAATTAGATCACCTGTAATATTATGAATAAATAACTGCACACCTCACTGGGCAGAGTATGGAAAAGTTTTACACACTTTTTAGGGATTCAAACAGAATTACAAATAATATTTCTTTCCAAATTTAAATTTTAGCCAATCTCTAAATTCAGTATTTCAGACACTAATCCTTTACGGAAATCTACTTAAATAAATTCTCCCTAAATGTTAAGAAGTAAAGCCATCACAGCTTGTATTTTCACTTCTTAACAAAGTCAGAAGATTCTCATAAAATGTGGTATGTTTAAAAGATCAAATATTTTACTATAAAGTTTTAATGTAAAGAAATAGTTTCAAAAATTTTCAAACTTTTGAAAAACTTTCCATTTCAAAAAGATATTAATGGTTTTATTTATTATTTCTAGTAAGCAAAACACATGAAAAGTCACTGCCAATGTTATAAATGTATTCATTCAAAATGATTCATAAAGGCCCACAATGGAAGAATATGACAAACTCTAAGTAAGAATTTTTAAATGTACCCACTTCCTTAATTAAAAAAAAAAATTATTTGCAACTATTAGGCGCTCTGGTAGCATAGTGCCTAAGGCACTTGACTGATAACCAGAAGGCTGGTGGTTCAAACCCACCAGCCACTCTTCAGAAGGAAAGTTGGGCAATCTACTTCAGGAGTGATATACTGCCTCGGAAACCCAAGGAGGGGTGACTATGAGTCGGGTCAGATGTGACGGCACATAACAACATCAACATGTACTCAAAGAAAACATATTCCAGTTCATCCCTTCAGTCTGGGTTTATACTTAGATAAATTCATGACTCAGTTTTATCTAAAACTTTTAAGTTTTGGAACAGATTTGGAAGCACATATTCCTAACAGGAAGAATGAAGCAACTGCACAGCTTAAATATGATGATGATCCAAAAATTACACGCAGAACACTGCAACTGGCGAATCCACTCATCAAAAGAAAATGCCATCCTTTCTTTGCACAAGCACACAAGACATAGGATTAAAGGAAATGAAATAAAAGAAGATAGAAAAAAGTGGATAAGGAAGACAATAGAAATTAACTGCATAAACAAAAACACATACACATATAAGACTGAGCACCCAGAAAGCCATAAACACTCTTACAGAGAATAAAATCCCAGAAACCAAGACAATGAAGAAGCTTCTCACCGTAAGATTAGGTGTAGGAGGACAACTTCTTGTACTTAAAAACTATTTTTTCCCCCAAAGGAGACTTATAGATTCAACTGTGTCCTGAAAGAAGGTTTATTGAGATTATAACCCCTGTACTTGTACTGTAAAGGAGCTCTGGTGGCATAATGGGTAAGGCAGAAGGTCAGCAGTTCAAAACCACCAGATGCTCTTCAGGAGGAAGATGAGGCCATCTACTTCCGTAAGGATAAGCCTTAGAAACCCAATGGGGTCACTATGAGTCGGAATGCACACAATGGCAGTGGGTTTGGTTTTTCTGGTACTTGTAATATGCCACTGTTTAGAAAGGTTTATTTTATTTTGCTAATGAGGTCATGGGAGCTCTGGTAGCATAGTGGCTAAGGCACTTGACTGCTAACTAGAAGGCTGGTGGTTCAAACCCGCTAGCCACTCCTCAGGAGGAAGATGGGGCAATCTACTCCCGTAGTGATACTGCCTCTGAAACCCAAGGAGGGGTCGCTATGAGTCAGGTCCGACTCGACGGCACATAACAACAACAACAACAACGACGTCATATCATAGTAGGGTGGTTCTAAACCTAATCCCTTTTGAGTGGCCTCTTATTTTAAAAAAGCAGAATAGACACCTACAGAAAGGAAATAATGATGCCAGCTGAAGATCTGTCTATAACCAAAGGAGCACCAAGGACTGCCAGCTAACACCAGAAACTAAGAGTGGCTGGCAGAAGGAATCAACAGAGTCCAGACTCATATTTGGACTTTTAGCCTTAAGAACTGTAAGAAAATAATTTTTTTCTTCTTTAAGTCCACCTATTTGTGTCTAGGAAACTAAGACAGACATGCTAAAAAAGTTAGAAAATATATAAAAAAAAGTAAGAAGGGACAATAGTCAACTGCATTTTACTTCGCCGGCCCTAGAGGTTCGTGGCAAACATCCATTTTGAAGACACATAAAACACAAAGAGTATTTTATGTACTGTCTGTGTTTCTATAACTTTTATGTGTGGTAGGGGTATAGCAGAATAAAGAGACAAAGACTTAAACAATAGAAATTGGAAAATTATGTCTATAACATTACATGCATAAGGAACACAAGGGCTGAGTTTAACAGTAGAGATATTCCCTGATAAGGAGTCCAATCTTCCTATAGTGAAAAGCAAAGGTCAGAAGAATAAAAAGACTGTATTAATCTTAAGGAAAAAATAGACATCTCCACATGATTTGAAAAGAGCAGGCATAAAGATATTAAGAGATCAATCTAATATTAGGTTCACCTAAGGCACTTAATAAAATCTCTGCACTTAAACCAGGATACCCAGATTGTTCTGGATATGAGCTTCTCAGTGAAAGTATCTGTCTGTAAGATTCCTGCACTGACTCACTGAAAAGATTTCTATATAAATACAATTACAAAGATTTCTGAACAAGCCATGCTGTTGCAACTACATATTTGACATTTAAACCTTGATATCATGAACCATTAGAAAGTTAGTCTGGTCAAAAGGTCACCACATCATAAACCTACAAAAAATTAAAAGGCTCACTCCACTTCCTGAATAGTTTTACAATGCTGAAGTGCAGTCTATTTTGTCAAGGCTTGCCAATTTATATGCTGTGCACAGGAATCAAGTCCCCTGATATTTGAGCAGGGCAAGGACAGTTGGTCATTCTTGTTCATCTTTAATAAATAACATAAATCTTCAGTTAACTAATTATACCCTTATTCTAAAACCTTAAAGTTCTCACATTTTCTACTTATTCTTTATAAAGTATAGGCCAACAAACAGGGAGGTAGATGAAGATTTTTCTTTAGCTCCATGGCTAGAAGATGTACCTTTAGTGAAAGAAATTAGTGGTCTAGTTTCTGCAGTGTCACACTCACTGACCAACTGTTTGCATGCTTATATCTAAACTCTCTTCAAAATTTGAGAGCACCTAGTACTGAACTGCTGGGGGAAAACACACACACACATACATACATACATACACACACACACACATCTTATGTCCTATAAATAAATGAAGTACAAGGACAAACTAAGAAGTTAGAGTATAACCATATATTAGTTATATACAAGTCGCAGACATTTTTGTCCAATTGTGGTAGCAGTCAAAGAAAGCTGGGAGCAACTGTGAAGATAGATTAAAATTTTCCAGGGGGCAAGGAAATCATTTGGGAGAAGACTAGTAGATGCTTTGATTTATGAAATGATTTTAAAGAAAGTCTGACAAGTTATAGTACTTAGGAGATCATGGACAGTTGAGTATGTTTTGTTCAATGGTTGAAAAATAAGTCAAACAAGCAAAATCACACAGGACTCTTTTTGTTTGTTTGTTTATAAAGGTAAGCTGCTGGCCCAAAGGGATGACCATTTTACTTGGACCCCTGTACATGGTAGCAGATAAACAACAGTAATCTGCCTGAGCTTGGGATCTTCTGAGAAAACAAAGTTTGAGGCTTGTATACATATAGTCTATTATGGGAAGTGATTTCAGGGAATGGGACTGGGCATTGGAAAGATGAGGGAAAGTCAAAACAAGGGTGCATCTTCAAGCTGGTCACTGTGGTCAACTATGGCTCAATCTTCCTGGAACTCTTGGAGAAGTTGTAGAAGAAATCTTAGAAGTGCTGCCCAAAAAATGGAAATGGGGGACATTTATTTACTGGCCTCCATTTCCTACCAGTCAAGAGTTGCCCTAAGAGGGATTAATTCTCTCACAGTCAGAGGTTTACACACAAATGCCTATCTCATGGGTGTCCTTGCATCAGCACTAGAGAAACCTTAGCATACAGAGAGATACAGTGGTGCAGCTGAGGTTTGTTATTTTTGTCAGGTTACACTACCACGAAACTAATCAAAGCAATATGGCTGACCAAAACATGGTTGAAAAAGAAGTGAAGTAGGGAGTAAGAATTGTCTGACTCTTAACCATGTGTCAAAAAGGCAAGTGATATATTTCTGTTAAGAATGCATTTTGAAATATTTCTACATGAAATCAATTTATACATAGTTTTAATGGCAAATAAAAGGGTTAATCTTGAAGTACCTTGTAAGTATGTCCCTGCAAATATTCTGAGTCAATGTATTTTCTTATCTTTTTTT